GACTGTTCGTCACGTACAAGCTTGGGCTGGAAAAATCATGCCACTTGACTCAATGCCAGACCTTGTGATCTAACGTGCATACGTTAAACCAATTGGCTACCCAAACCCCCTTATCCCTGTATAATCTAACAATAACATTAAGTTCAATGTTACAATATTAGATGTTTTCACAACTAGTAAATAATCTGTGATTTTATTTATCCACGTATAATAATATATGATATTAGACGTTTTCACTACTAGTAAATTACCTGTGATTTTATATTTTAACAGTTAAGAAAATGTCCACAATCATCACCCCTCTGGTTGCTGATGTCTCGTCAAGAAGAAAAATTAGGTCATCTTACTAAAGCCAGGTCTATCATGGAGAAGGCCAGATTAAAAAATCCCAGATCCCCGGAATTATGGTAAGGTTGTCAGACATTTTTCTAGCTTAAAAAGGGAACAGAGGTCTTTCATGCAATAGCGTTTGCTACAACAACTTAAAACCTCTGATTGCAGTTACTATGTCTAAAATTCCACAGTTTAATCCATGCTAGAATATACTCAAATTGATTTACTTCATTATGGAAATACATTCAATGTAATGGTATACAATCTCCCTATCAAAGTATTTTTCTTATAGGTGGCTCTGGCTTGTTTAGATATAGTGCTTTACAACAACTACTTGTATGTGACAAGGAGTAAGGTTATCTGTCCAGTCTCGTGGGTTTTCCCCGGGTCCTCCAATTTTATCCCACAGCTAAAGAAACCTATGTGCAAGCGAATTATTGAAATAAAATTGAACCATATGTTAGTCATTGAAATGACCTAATTTGTGTCAAGTGGATTTTAAACCCCATTTCTCCCTCCCCCACTTTACGTCAACGATAACTATTTATTATTGGTGTTGAGTTTCTTTAGGACAAACATGATACCCTTTGAAGTGGCATTATCAATGTTAGCCTAGTCTTGAAATTATCTAGTTTTAATAGAGTGAAAGTTAACATTGTTGATTACAAGCTATACAATTATACATTTTAGTCTGTTATATTTGTAGGTTAGAAGCTATAAGAGTTGAAAACAGAGCTGGATTAAAAAATATTGCTTCAACATTGATGGCTAAAGGTACTGTGACTTGTTAGTTATATTTCATACAAGGAACCACGGTGGCCTAGTGGTGATAGGGACGCAATGACGAGTTTTGCGTTGTGGTCTTGAGTTTTTGCGCCCCCCCCCCCTTGATTTTTTGTGCCCCTCACAGATGGCAAGAAATGCGGTTTTCAACATTATAATCATAATGCCCAACCAGTCTCAAACATATACAGGTCAAATATCCACACAGACCAGTACTACCCAGTGGCACTAAGAGGACAGAGAAGTAAAACATAAAGACAACATATCAATTTAATGGAATCTAATTTCCAAACATGGATCGGACTAAAGAAAACATACATGTATATTAGAATCTGTCATTACATCTTCCAAGAAATTTATTATTGAATTCATTCTTGTGTATTTTTTAATTGACAGCTCTTCAAGAATGTCCCAATTCTGGTATCCTGTGGTCCGAGGCCATCTTTATGGAACCAAGACCACAGAGAAAGACAAAATCAGTTGATGCGTTGAGAAAATGTGAACATGATCCACAGGTTTTATTAGCTGCTTCAAGGTAAGATAAAATATAATATCACACTTAACCAGAACATAAATAACATCAAAATCTAGTATATATCATTTAAAACTTTTATTACAATCAGGAGGCAAATTGTTACTGAAAAGGGAGCTACTGTGAGTAAGATGTCGGCTCGCTAGCCTGGAGCTCTCGGGTTTGCTTCTAACACTGGCCGAGAAGTTCCTCAGGATTTTCCAGTGTGGTTTCCCTTTGTCAGTGGTGCTGGACAGGGACAGCTGTCTAGTCATTTGGATGGTACAGAAAACCAAGGTTCCATGTACACATAAGCGTGCACAAAAAAGAATCTTTGATAGCTGGAATTTGATAGAATAGAAGGCCGTAGTGCCACTGTCCAGCAAAATTTCTCTGATCGCACACTGCATGGCATATGCCCTTCTTCATTAGCACAGTTGGTGTAGAATATTGTCTATACAGTGCATAAGCTCTGTAGTCACCTGGCTTGTAGTCGTGGTTTCAATCCCTGGTGTGAGTGTATTTTGCTTGGAGATAGGGGTGACAAGTAGTGGGGTCGCCTGACCGACCTTGTGGGTTCTTTCCAGGTCCTCCAGTCTCCTCACACTGCTAAAGACTCCTGCGCGCAAGCGAATTATTGAAATAAAAAAGAACCATATGTTAGTCCCAAAATGACCAAGTTTGTGTCGAGTGAACTTTAAACTCCATTTACTCTGGGTACGCTGGTTTCCTCCCACAGGAAAGAACCTGCATGTGCTAAGATAATGAAAATGTAAAAAAAAAAATAGACAACTTATCTGTGATATCACCCTCTGTGGAAGCGGATATTAAAACACCACAAACAATAACAACAACAAAAGTTGTACAGGTTATTTTCTGTCTGTATATTTATTTCAGGTTGTTTTGGTCTGAGAGGAAAACTAAATTATGTTTTATTTTGTTGTAGATTATTTTGGTCTGAGAGGAAATTAAATTAAGTTTTATTTTGTTGTAGATTATTTTGGTCTGAGAGGAAATTAAATTAAGTTTTATTTCATTGTAGATTATTTTGGTCTGAGAGGAAATTAAATTAAGTTTTATTTTGTTGTAGATTATTTTGGTCTGAGAGGAAATTAAATTAAGTTTTATTTCATTGTAGATTATTTTGGTCTGAGAGGAAATTAAATTATGTTTTATTTCGTTTTAGATTATTTTGGTCTGAGAGAAAATTAAGTAAAACAAGAGATTGGTTTAATCGAACAGTTAAAATTGATCCTGATCTCGGTGATGCCTGGGCCAACTTTTATAGATTTGAATTGATGCATGGAGACGAGGTGAGATGACAGGGGTTTCTTACAATATAAAATAAAATGATCAGAGTGCGTTTTATTATAGAAGCAGGTGTTAAACAACCAAGAGATAGTGTGCATAGATGATATTCATGCAAAAACTGAGATTATCGAGTTTAATCAAGTATCTCCTTAGAGACAGTATTATGGTGAGGTTAACTGATAATTGATGTAAAATTGTCTTCTTGAGATAAAAATCGCTACAAAGACTTGTAATTATTCCCAATTACATTGACAGTGATTCAATTTAAGATTCCCTAATAATTTTTCGTTGATATTTTATTTTACAGAGAAGCCAGAAAGACGTGTTAAATCGTTGTACTATAGCTGAACCACATCATGGTGAATGTTGGTGTAAATTATCTAAAGATATTATCAACTGGAGGTTACGAACAGATGAGTTATTGCCCTTAGTGGCTAAATCGATTTCTATACCAACATAAGACTTTTTATCATTCAAAAACCTTATTTGTTTTAATCAGGATTTCAAACTCATTAAGTATGGATATAAAATTGTGAACCTTTTTATGATGACCATCACCTGATCATTGACCAAAATTACATAAAATTGGCATTTAGTAATTGAACCCAAATATATAGGTCACAATTCTATGGAAAATAATTACTGCTTATTACTGAGCGACATTTTAACTGGGCTTTTCTATATTGTCTTTTTATTTATTATCATTGCTTGATAATGACTAGAGAAGCCTAGTTAAAACATCACTCAGTCATAAACAGTAATTATATTCCATAGAATTGTGACCTGTATATATATATGAATATTATTACACCTCTAATTATTAACCAGTCTGGACTATATGACTATAGACAAGCCTCGTTAAAACGTCTTATCAGTAATTGTATTCCATAGAATTGTCACCTGTACCTGTATATACAAATTATATTCTTCAAGCTGCTGATTCTTATTTGAGGACTTTTGATTCTCTTGCAAACTATAATATTGTCAAGTTCTGTTCAACATGTACAAAGATATGATGGAAATGAAATGGAGTTGAACGTCCTACTGTTCTTCTCCGACTGAGCTAATGAAGATAGGCATATGCCATATAGTGTGCTATGAGGGAAATTTTGCCCAGAATTCCAACTGCCAATGGATCTTTTATGTCCACCCCAGTATGGTTGATGAAAATTTTGCAACAGTTGACATGATCTGTAGATAATAATAAACAAGCCAGTGCCACCTATAAATGTTGGATAAAATCTTTTGATGGCCCTCTTTTTAATCTGATTTATTGCAAGCCAGGAAGGAGATTATCAACCACTGATGTTTTGACTTTGTTTTATAAATCAAGGGGATCACGTGGCTAAGTGGGTAAGACGCTAGCTCGCTAGCCTGGAGGTCGGGTGTTCGATCCCTGCATTGGCCGAGAAAGTTCATCCAGATTTTCCGGCGTGGTTCTCCCTTGTCAGTGATGCAGGACGGAGGGGCTGACAAGGAAAGCTGTCTAGTCGTTCGGACGAAAAACGGAGGTCCGGTGTACACATTGGCGTGCATGTAAAAGATCCCTTGGCAGTTGGAATTCGATATAAGAGTAGGCCGTAGTGCCGCTGCCCGGGCAAAATTTCCCTCATAGCACACTGTATGGCGTATGCCCGTCTTCATTAGCCCAGGTTAGGAGCAGAACAGTAGGACGTTAAACCCCATTTCATTTCATTTCATTTCTTTTATAAATCAAATGTTAAATAATCCATTTAGGTCCATTTTAGCATAGATTAACATAGATTAACATAGATTAACCTTTGAAAAGCATAAATATTGTCCAAAAAATATAAATTAACATCAGCAGGTTTAAGTAATTCCCAATCAGTAATTTTTAAATCTGAATTAAATATTTTGTTAATAGAAATATGTTTGGTCTCAGATTTGAACTTGACAAAACTGAATGGTCAATTCTTATTTTTACGATTCCTTAATTATAAAATGCATCATATATTTCATTTATTTGTATATACCATTAATAAGTCATTATGTATATAAATTGTTGTATGTAAAGATATTACATAAAGATAATAAAACATAAAAATCTATAAATAATTTTACTCTTTGTTTTATTTACATATTAAATATTAGTAGTATATATCATCTACATATTCATATCTTCTTTAAAAATGGGGGTTGGATGGCTGAATGGTTAGCGTGCGCGCGCTGTATCATAAAGTCTGTCATTGAGTCGACTGGCGTAGTTTTGAATCCCCGGTTGTACGTGACTAGGAGTAGGGTTGCCTGTCCAACCTCATGGGTTTTCTCTGGGTCCTCCGATTTCCTCTTACTGCTAAAGACCCCTATGCACAAGCGAATTATTGAAATAAAATGAAACCATATGTTAGTCCCAAAATGACCTAGTTTGTGTCAAGTGGACGTTAAACCCCATTTCTCTCTCTCTCTTCTTTAAAATATCACAAGACAGCCTGATACCACTTCTTATTTTATGGGGTTTAACATTGACTTGACACAAATTAGTTCATTTCAGGACTTATACAGGCAGTGCCATTTTATTTCAATAATTCACTTGCACATAGGGGTCTTTAGCGTTAGGAGGAACTTATACAGACAGTGCCATTTTATTTCAATAATTCACTTGCACATAGGTGTCTTTAGCGTTAGGAGGAAACCGGCGAAAACAACAAGTTGGGCAGGCAACCCCCTACCCCATGGGAGAAAATCTATTGACATCTTGGTGACAGGTGACAGAAAGATTACCCAGAATATTACATCTAGTCAAATCAGTCTTCAAGTCATCTCATCTTTCAACTTTAAATACTGAAACGATAAACAAAACACACATTAGTATATTACATACTGACTAATGAAAGTAGGTAAATCATATAAACCAGTCCTTTAATAGTTGATAATAAAAAAAGGTAAGATGTTCTATTATAACCTTCCTTGAATAAACCAGATCTAACAAAAATGAACTAGTACATTTTACAGGTCCTTTAATAAATATAATGAAATGAAATGGAGTTTTATTGTTTTTCTCAGACTGGCTAATGAAGACCGGCATACTCTTATTACAAAATCCATCTGTCAAGGGGTCTTCTATCTACATACGAACAACTAGACGCTGTTCTTGTCAGGCCAGATGTACTGCACCATTGACAAGGGGGAAAACACACTGGGAACTTTCTCAGCTGACATCCAGATCGAACTCCGAGCCTCCTGATTAGTGATATACATGTAGCACCTTACTCAATGAGCCACCATGGCTCCGCCTTTTAATAAGATTTGAGTTATAATAAATGTAGTCCATCATTGATAAACAAGATTATACCCAACTGTGAATTACAACAATGCTAAATTAATACACATTTTTTTTACAATTTGTAAAATCACCTCTTAGCAATTGTTTACAATAAATATGATAATTCATTCTCTTTGAGATTTTAAAATACTTACATTTTTCCGACTTTGTATAGCTTGCTGAATCCATAATAATTCCATGGCAAGATTTTTCCGTAATTCAGCTAGATCTTTCTTGTCTGTTGTTAACTTCTTTACATCTAAAAATACATAGATTGATGGTCAACAATAAAACAAGAGAGACAAATGTCTCATCTAATAATTGTATCTCTATTACCTCAATAGCCAAATCACCCCCAAAAAAACCAGGACTAATATAAATTGTTTCAGTGGTATTTAGTAATTGAATTGGAATTACACCGGACACATTTCTATGAAATACAATGACTGCTTATTATTGATGCTAGATTCCCACCGTCATGCAATGCGTTGCTATAGGGTTGTCCCTATTTAGTCCACGATACGGTACTTTTAGTTATGTTCAGATACGATCAACACAAATGCTACGAAAGACCTCAATATATGATACGACCTGAAAGGATCCCCACGATTACTCCACAATTTCAATCGCGGCACGAATCGTGATAGTGGGAACGAAGCAGGAGTGATGTTTCGATATTGCTTTATGAAGTTGAAACGTCACTAATAAAAAAAACAGTGAATGTACCTGACATTTTGAACTTTGTGCCACACTTGTATTATAAATATGATATTAAAACACTGATACAAGAAAAATAAGAGGGCGGCTCATGACTGACAAATGTGTCAATATGTGCTGGACAATGTGACAGGTGCCTTATTACCAGGTTTGCCTAGAATAGAAATGACCAAGGTAACCTGTTACCTGGTGACCATAGTGGAGAAATATCTAGGCAACAAAAGCCTACTACTACATGTACATATATTCAGAATTATATTTTCACCTGTGTGACTTTGAAAAGAAGAATTATCTGGATCCCAAACCGATGTGTCATCATTAACAGAATTATCTAATCCACCTCTTCTCACAGACTGTTCTTGTGTTGATAAATCAACATCACGTCCCTCCACGGTTTTTAAATCTGTCAACTCAACCTGCTTATCTGGAGAATCTTTCTGTGGAATTACATCAACATCATGGTAACCTGAATAAGTACCGGTACCATTATCTATTTGTTCAAAATGTCTGTTTGGGTCGAAATGAGTGTTTCTATTATTCACAGAGCTTTCTGGTAAGAACTTTCGATCCTCTGAGGTACTAATCTTTGCTTTATTTAAATTTTGTTCACTTCCACGGTTATTTGTCTGATTTTCAAAATGTTTTTCAGATCCTGTTCTTTCCGAAGAGTCCATATTTTGTTGATGTACATGTAAAAAAGGGCTACCACACGTATCAAAATCTGTTTGGATTTCAACAGATAATTTTTCTGTATTTTCAGAGCAGGACACAATGTTTTTGTCAGAGCAGGACACAATGTTTTTAGACGAGGTTTCTTTGGAGGCATTTTTATTTTTTCTTTGTTTAGTATTTCTGATTCTTGGTGAACAGATATTATTGCTTGGCCATTCAATTTCCAATGGCTTCCTTTCAATGTTGTTGCACAGCTCTTCGAAGTCTTGTCGCAACTTCTTCATCCATTTTCTTGTGAGAACTCCTCTGATGTGGGCCTGAAAAAACAAAAACAAAATGAAACCAAGTACATGCATGAGTATATTGTCAACTCCATGTCAATTTAAAGGAGCTAAATCGCTAATATTTGGGACCTAGAAATGAACACAAGTGGGTCGCAACACATATAATACTGTAATATGAATGTATATAAACTGATTTACATTCAATGGTTTCCGTTTTTACTCTAATTTCAAATCAGTTATGTTCCGTGAAATAAGCCAGCAGTCTCAATCGTATGCAAATTCCTAGCGTCTGGTTATTCCAGTCTACATACGCCGTTTGGTGCAATATGTCTAGCCTCGTTCCTCAAGTCTCTTGCTAGAACTGGGGCTGAAACGCATTATGGTACACGATTCGTGTACCAATGGTAAAATATTTATTTTGTCTTAAATATTGGATATCAGAAGCCCATCTTTTTCCGGTAAGATCACAGCATCAATGTTGTTTTAAATTGACAAATAATTCGTGTTTTCAATACAGTTGAAGATTTTGGATGATATTGAGTTAGAGACTTAGCTACTTTAACACTGGTACTGGTGTCACAGTTTGACTTGGTAACGGTACTCTAAATGGATGGATTCCCTTTCTTTCTTTTTTCAGGGGCTAGTGACTGATTAGTAGAACAATAGCCTTTTGACTAAAATCATAAATGTAATCAATTTGAATCTCAGTCTAGGCTGAGAAGAATTTTGGGGATTTCTAAGCCCAGTTCTTTGTTGTCAGGGGTGAACCTGCAGGTCCGACAGGCTATAGTATAGACAACACTGCCAATGAAAGCTTTGACTTCATTTAATCTGATGCATTTATTTGTACAGCAAGAGGGATATCTTTCTCTTTATAAAATGATGTCATTAATGAACGGCAACAATGATTTTCCTCTATCTAGACTCAGTCTAGTCATAGATAATATTATCTATGGTCTAGTAAAATAGTTCAACTTCAAGTCAAAATAAAAGATGAAAAGAAGTCAATAGTAAGCAGCAGAAGAAACAAATCCAATATATCTGACTGACTCATGATCGGTGTTTTGTAGCTTTAGATTATAGCATATAAAAACAGATTGATTGAATGATATTATTTTTTCAAAGATCCAACGTTCGAAACGTCAGCAAACATGTTGTCACTTGTTTTCAAGTTTTCTTTCGAATTCAACACACTTTTTCAATGCCTATGTCCGAGTTTCAAACGCGATGGATTGGCAATATAATAAGAAGAAAACGTCCTCGTTAATTCTTTCACATACGTCATACAGAAAACAAGTACCTGTAAGCGTATGACTTGATTTTCATCGACATCATCTATATCTAACCAAGATTCATTCATTTTATCCGCCATGTTGCCATAATTCCTAAATGGTTGTATTTGATTGGTCGTTTTTGGTTACTCTTAAGTTTATGCTCCATAAATTAACGAAACGAAATTATAAAAACACGACCCATAAAATAATATGCAATATTTGTGTCAAATCATTTTGAGGAGACCTGTTAAAATCTGGGTCAATAATCTGGCTAGTCTTGACTATCATTGGGCTTCCATTTAATGTTATTATCCCCATTTTGGACTGATCAGATGTTTCTGAATGAATGAAATGGGGGTTGAACGCCCTACATTTTTGCACCGACCGGGTCAATGAAGAGTGATATACGCCCGTAGAGTGCATTGTCGGGCAGGGGGGGGATTTTTCCGGACAGAAAATGAAGTCTAACTGTCAAGGGTTCTTTTAAATGCGTACATGGTACCTCAGATTTTCGTCCCATCCGAATGACGCTGTTCATATCGGGATCACCGTCCTACACTAGAAATGGTTCCACTACTGATGTCTTCCGCCTTACTCCAGCCACAGTAGTGGCTCGTCCTACGGAGTTCCTTTGCGCAAGTTTTTTAGTCAAAGGACTACAAAAAGTTTACTGGTCTATAGCCCCCTTAATTTACACATAAACTGACCCAAGACAGTACTGCACATAGCTGCTTAACATATAATAAACCAATTCCCATTGAAATAAAGGTGAAGTCTTACCGCATAATTATATGATTTGATGAAACCCAACTGTTACGCGAAATTTGGCGAGATTTCATCTGGCTGGTGTCATGGCGGTTTACATTAAAAGAAATGTCGCTTTGAAAATGTAGAACGCATAATTACCACAAAGAAAAACTGTTCAATAACTATTTTAGTGGTCCAGTCTTCACTATTTTTGATAGAATTACCTATGTCAATACAAACTGTTATGACATGTGTTGACAATTGTGCGTTTGAAACTATTTGTACTTGCGTAAGGAGTCTTAGACTGTATCAATTGTAGCGTTAAACACAGTTTAACGGTACGACATTTGTAGTTAAGTCCTACACCACTGCCAAGGGGAAAACACACAGGAAAATATCGGGTAACTCCTGGTTAGTGAATCAATAATGTCTTACCCGCTGAGCCATGGTTTGTGTCGATTTGTTAATATCGTATCAAGTGTTGAGTTCTAGTTACTCGCACATGGTGAAAACACTAGCCCCCTGAATGCACACCGAACCCCAGGCCATCGACAAGTGAAATTTACAATCGAACACCGAACCGTCTGGTTAGTGAACCAGCGCCTTACCGCATGCACCGAGTCACTGTCAAATGAGTTTATGGTTTGTCAATATCGTGTTAAATTTTGGGTTCTAGCCATACTTGCACAAGACGAAAACACGAGACCCTGTATGCACATTTGTATCGCTAGTTAAATATCTCAAAGAGTCTCACAAAGCAAATAAAAAATCCATTCCTAGCTGCCTTGTCATAAAACCATTACAGCTCATTCCAAAATATCTTGGATTTTTTCTTATTTTGACACTGCATAAATTCTACCATAAAAGTACATGCTCCTTTCAGTGTTGTCCTTGGGCTCTAGCCTTTGTACGGGAACAATGTACAAGATTCGATACATTACCATCTTCTTTCCCAAATCCTGGATTCCTGTTTCTTCAATTGAAAGACCATAACGCTTAAAACACTAAGTCGACATGTTCACCGGACATATAAGTTAGCACGCGCGCGCTGTATCCTACGGTCTGTCATTGAGTCGACTGGCGGGGTTCGATTCCCCGGTTGTACCTGACAAGGAGTAGGGTCGCCTGTCAAACCCCGTGGGTTTTTCCCCGAGTCCTTCGGTTTCCTCCCACTGCTAAATTAAACCATGTGTTAGTCCCGAAATGACATAGTTTGTGTCGAGTGCACGTTAAACTCCATTTCTCACCGGACATATAAAGCGGAATTAGCCAAACGATAAACCCGTGACCAATAAATTGCGTAGTGACGGACTGGCCAGGTTGTCAGCTTGTGGGCACCTGAGGAAGTGGCCCCCCTTTGACATTAAACAATATATTTAAAATATAAATTATCAAAAAATATAATAAATATTAGAAAAAAAAATATTAGCATGAAAATATTATAAAAGTTCTATTATATCTTCAATTCTAGTATGGGGTTATGATAATTACTATTGTCCACTTACATATTTTTTGAAAATTTAATTTATTCATTTTAAAAATTTATTGATAGAATTGTATTAGTGGGTGGGCCCCTTTGTCTCCTGGCAACCAATATTTTCAGACCCAGTTCGCCATTGTAAATGCGTATAACCTTTGGGAATTTTCAATAGACGGTCGATATCTATCTCATTTCATGCAGACTCTAAAGTAGTAACGGTCATTTCATTGAACTAATTCACATTAGGGAATATTTAGTGATTTGCTCTAGAGAGGTCCTCACAAAACGATCATCCAATCCTCAATCTTTATTGGGAAATAGGGGGTTAGATGTTCTATTTGTTACATATCAAACCAGCATGCAAGTAAAAGAACCCTTGACGGTTGGAATTCGATCGAGTAGAGTGCGTATAGCATAGTGCTACTGTCCGGCGAAAATGTCTGTCTTCATTAGCCCAGTTGGTGCAGCAAAGTGACGTTACCCCCCCCCCCTCTCTCTCTCTTTCTCTCTCTCTCAGGTCTGCCATTGAGTCAACTGGCGTCGTTTCGATTCCCCGGTTGTATGTGACAAGGGGTTGGGTCGCCTGTCCAACCTCCTGGGCTTTTTCCGGGTCCTCCGGGTACCTTCCACTGCTAAAGACCCTTGCACGCAAACCAATTATTGAAATAAAATATAACCATATTATTATGTTAGTCCCGAAATGACCTAGTCTCTCTCTCTCTCTCGCTCTCTTTGGTCTTGGACACAGTTGTCAGTATAAATTATAGGTCATCAGGTGTTCCAGTAACACTACGCATCTGAAATTATATACACGTATTGAAAATTCTACTTCAAATCTTTTGTTCTGTCTGGAGAATTCGTCGGATTTAAAAACCCAGACGAGAACATGACATTAAATATCGACTGTATTAAAGGGCGGTTCTTCAGATCACAATATGGTCTTATTATTATTCTGAAGTTAATTGGGCAAATCTAGTTCCACTGGGATCCAAAGTAAATTTGATACGGAGTGAAGCTCGCTTCAAAAGAACCATTGAGCGCCCTCCTAGAAAACTTTGCGTAATTCGATACGTGTAATTTCACGGCGTTAATTTGAGGGAACATTTATAATAAATGTTTGAAAATGAATTTCGATCCGGTTAATTTGTTATTGCAAGCTTTGTTTGAAGTGGTTTTAGACGACTAAAAGTGGTTAATAGTTTTAATTGGGTTAGAATTAAGAGTTTTGTAAATGAAGAAGCAGTCGAATCGCCTTGGAATGACAATATTTACACGTTATATAAACAAAAATATAGTGTTGTGGTTTCCACTGACAACGAAAGATGTAAACAAAAATAATTAGTCTTTTAGTGATGTTTACGTTTTCATCATCACACAATTACAAGTTCGTGTAACTGTCGAATTCTTTTATTATTTCGTTATTGGAGCCGCCCCGTATATATATTGGTGAATATAACGGGTTAGTTATGGAAGATACGGTACTAAGAAACCTGTACAACTATCTGACGCTCTGTGATATATTTTCACAGAAATACAAACTTTTAGTTTCTCAATAAGGTTGGGGGATAAGTCGGCAAATTACCTATCTAAGTTATAGTCGGGAATTGTGCCAGGAGCCCTATTTTGGCTCGCAACGCCGGTGCAAAATAAAATTCTTCAGATAAATTACGTAACTATGTTAATCAAAGCCATGACGGTTCAAAATTTTTGGCTACAACTTTCTGACAAACTATTCACATTAATTTGAGTGTATAATTTCCATATTTAAACACACTTTTATCGACGAGTACACTGTGAAATTTGGGACCGACTCTTGAACTGTCACGTACAACCGGGTATCCGAAACCACGCCAGTTGACTCAATGACAGGCCTTATGATACAACGCGCACGCGCTAACCATTCGGCCACCCATCCCCCTTTGGTCGTAAAAGAACCCCTTGCAATTGGAATACGATAAAGAACACAGCGCTTGATTTCTTTATAAAACCCAATCTGTCATGCTTCACGTACATGTTTCTTCTGTATTGACGCAGACAAATAAAACCTGTAAATAAATGAGATTGTATGATAGATAGCGATGACAAGTGTTGATTTCACTCATCTGAATACAGGAAATATACACCTTTATGACAGATAAATGAAATCGACTAAAAGAAACTTCCCATCGAAGCAAATGAAAACACGAATTTGAGACAGCTTAGAATTAATCGAAGCACGTGCTTGCTTTCTTACTAGCCATGTGATTAGTAACAGGAAAAAACTTTTTGATTGATCAGCAGGTGTGGTCAAGTAATCGAGACTATATAGTACTTATCTTAAATAAAGATCAACTAGTCTTTTACTGTTATCTATTAGCAGTGTATGGGTGTTCATGGTAATATGTCTACCACAGCTGTGTTTTCATGGACTGACAAATGTTAATATAAGTAGTTCTATATACGATACAAATATCACATGGTTTTATTAATAGGAATGGTTCGAGTCAACAAGTGCCCGCTTCTATAAGAGAAAGAGAGAGAGAGAGAGAGGGGGGAGGGGGCACGAACTGGGTTACTTCGGGAATAACATGGCACAGCCGACCATACCCATTTCCAGGTGCAAGCGGGGACCGACGCTTGACTCCATGACATATCTTATGATCTCATGCGCACATGTCAGATCACCCATCTAACGCCACCATAATAAAATATAGATGTTATAACAAGCATAAAATATAAATCTGAAAGGTGGAGGGGGGGCATAATTTATTAATTAACAGGGATTATAGGCATTGAACTCTTTCAATGAATGACCCTGACCCCCGGCTAATTATAGAAATAAATGAAATGAAATGGGGTTTACCGTCCTACTGTTCTGCTCCTATGCTGGGCTAATGAAAACGGGCATACGCCATACAGTGT